CACGCCGAGCAGCTCCCGCTTTCGGGTTCGCTTTTAATAAGGACCATGAGCGACGGCTGCCTGGGCGCTGGTGAGGTCTGTCTGGGATAGGGGGGTGGTGCTGTGCCGTGGGTGCGCAGTGACAGTGTCGAGCTGCGGACGGAGAGTGGGCAACCCCACTCTGGAGCGTTTCGGGTGTCCGTGTGCTGCTTTAGGGCTCTTTATGTGCTCCGGGCATCTCCTCAAAAGCTCGCTGAGCTTTGTATGGTGCTGGACACGGCTGAAACACCTCTTTGGTGGGTGGCACTGGTAGGAAGGCTTTGGGTGAGGAGTTTAAGCAGTGAAGGCAAACCGGGTCCTGGCTGGAGCCTCTGTGGATGCTTGTGGCCACGAGCCAGGGAGTGCCTGCTGGCTGCTGCCGAAATGGGCTCCGCTCGGCCGAGGCTGTGCCAGCAGATGACGGGCAGAGCCCTGGGGGCGTGTGGCCATCGCGGCAGGGCAGGGAAAAGGATGAATCTGGCAAGGTCCCGGCGCGTGAGCTGGGAACGGCTGCTTTCGCCCTTCTCCGGGGCTGCTACCGAATGCCGTGCGTCGGCCCCACCGTAGCCGATGAGGGCCATGACTCCTGGCAGAGGAGGGCATGCATGAAAATGAGCCTGGCAATCGCTTCTCCAGCCCGTCTGCATTACCTCAGCCTTGGCTGGGCCACGGCTCCTCCAAGCCCTGATGGGTTTGATAAATGCAGTTGTCGTGCGCTCACTATTACTCATTTTAATCCCAGCGTTACTTCGCAGGCTGCAGCTCAAACCGAGGAGGAAGGCAGCTTGTCCGCGCGTCTGCAGCGATGCTGACCTGGCTCTCGGCTCATACCTGGATAACCTCATAACCTTTTATAACCAGGGAGTTATAAAACTAAAACCCGCCTCTTGTTTTAGGAGAGCGTGAAGGTGCTGCGGCTGACTCTGCCGAATGACCTCCCGGGCGACAGGCGCGAGCAGCCGAAGCAGAAGGTAGGTCTCCCCCGCGGCTCGGTTTGGAGTTGAAAATACAAGTTTGTGAGTTAACTTAGGGAGGGGGGAACGGGCGTTTGGTGGAGGATCAGTCGCTTTATGCTTTGTGAACTAGAAAACCCACCGCCTGGTCTGTTAAACGTTTCGACGCCAGTTCCCGAGGCCGTGCTCGGCACCGCGTTCCTCTGCAAAAGTGCACAACGCTCATTTGACTGGAGCCGGGCGAACCGTTCCAGCCAGTCTCGCCTCTCTGAAAGCCCTGCTGCTTCTGTCTCTTGCAGCCAGTAGGAAAAGCCTTCGCGATGGTGGCCAACAGATCCAGCAACGGTCACTCCCTGGCCTCCGAATGCATCAAATCCAACGATGGCGATGAGGAGATCATCAAGGTACAGTCCCTGGCTCCCCGGCTTTGTTGCAAAGCAATCTTGTTTAATAATTGGGGCTGGGAAAAAAGGTTTGGTCTGAAGCTACACCAGCAGAAAGCTCCCCGGTGTAGCTCCTGATCGGGCGGGCAGGAGGCTTGGTGCAGTGCTGCTGGCTGGCAGCACCAGCTCGGTGGGCTTCCCCAGCGCTGGGGGGGATGCAGCGTGAACCTGGGACAGCTGCGGTGGGTCTGCGGGGTGGGGGTCATGCAGGAGGAGGAGCAGCTTCAAAAAAAACGCCGGGGAAGGTCAACTGCAAAGGGGAAACCTGTGGACGGCGTGTCTCGGGAAGCAGTGAGATCCGGTGTCCCGATCCCTGCGGAGCTGGGCTTGCTGCTGGCATTACTGGGCTGGCCGGAGTCAGGACGGTCTGACCTGCTGCCACCACCTCTCCTGGGCAGGTTTATCTCAAGGCACGGGCCGAGGGCAGCATGAACCACGAGGAGCACGTCAACCAGCTGAAAAGTGAAGTTCGTTACATTCAAGAGGTAGTTTACGTCCGCGGGGGGGCTCTGGCTTGCGTGCCGCTGCCTGAACTCGCGGGGGGCTTGCGGCGAGGGTCCGGGGCGCTCTGCTTCCCCCGGGGACGTCCCACGGGGTTTCATGCGAGCGGGCAGCGATGCCCGCGCCGGCTGGGGGGCTCGAGCCCCGGCTGAGCCCCAACCACTACGGCAAACTGGCAGCGGAGCTGAACTCTCCAGTTTGCTGACTTGCCTGTACAGGGCAGTAGCCTAATCAAGTGCCATAAATTAATTCAGCCTGACTAATTGCTCTGCTATATGGACTGAATTTGAAGAGAATTGCGTGATGACTTTCCCCCAAGGCTGTCCCCTGCATGCCTGGGCGCGGCACAACCGGAGCCTCTTGTTAAAAGGCAGTTTCTTTGGTATGTCTCATCTCCCAAAGTAAACTGGATGATGAGGCTCTCGGAAGATTAACCCTTTCCTCTGCTCCTGGTGGGGATGTTATTTCTGGAGAGCTGGTTGCAAGGCATGGAAGCGGTTGCGTGCATGTTCTGGTCTGGGCAGCTTGGCCTTAAAAAAAAAAAAAAAAAAAAAAAAGAGAAAAAGGGGGAAAAATATATTTAAATTTGGGTTTGCTCTCATGGGGAGTTTCTGTGCTGGGTGCTGGCCCCAGGGAGCAGCGAGGGGCAGATCTGGCAGGGCGGCTTCCAGATCTTTTACGTCATCCTTCTGACTCCTCTGCCAAAACGCCTGTTTTTCCCGCCCAAAAGAAAACAGCCTGTTCCCGCTGCCTCCTGCCTGGCCCCCGCCTGCCCAGGGCTGCAGCGCTCCGGGGGTGTTGCTTACCCAGACCTTATCTCGCAGCCACCGGGATGCTGCAGTTTTTGTGCGTGATCCTCCCCACTCCTGGGGCTTCGACTTCAGCTCTTCTGATCTGAGCTTTCCCGTAGCTCCCCACAGCTCGGATGGAAACAGGAGTCAGGTTTTAAAAGGGCCTCTTAGCAATAGTTGAGTGGGGCTTAGACCTTGTCTGGCCACAAAGGCTGTACGTAGCCCTATCAGAATAGCTGAAGCAGCATAACCGTGCAGTACGACTTAATCCTGCATGTGAAAACCAGAGAATAAGCTAAACCAGTAAGTCACGGTGGCGGTACCAGTCTGTCCGCATCCAAGAGAAGTGCCCTGCGCTGGGTCGTGGTGTAAAAACCCTGGGGATGTCTTTGATCCAGCTGGATCGCTGTCCCCGGGTTAAGGGCTCGATTGCTGACCCGAGAGCCGCACGTCGTGCTCTCGCCTTGTCCCCTGCCCTGCTGCTGCCTGCTCTCCAGCAAACTGCTTCGCCCCAGCGCCTCTGGCATCTAAAATCAAGGGGTAGGGATGAAGCCACGCTGTTAGTGCTTTGAGAAAGCTTTTCTTTGAAAAGCGTTGGGGCAGCGTTTGCTGTAAAAGCCTGTAAATCATTCCTCTGGCTCACTTGCTCTGACTAATTCGAATAGCTGCAAGTCAAGACTGTACTTGTCGGCGTCCTGCAGCGTGGCAGAGAGGGAGCTGGGGAACAGCAAGGGTCTTCTCAGCACTTCAAATGTGAAGTCAATGACTAATGCATGAAAAATGAGTAGCGTCTCCAGATTGTTGCTTTTTTTTTTTCCTCCCCCAATTTTTTTTTTCCCCCCCATGATTGTGTGGCACAGCTGCCTCGCAAGGATCGTATCTGCCAGAGACGGTGCTGCTTGCAGGCAGGGCTGTAGTAAAACCAGGGGGTCAGGCTGGCAGAGAAGCCATCGATTGCGTATCGGCGCAGGGCATCGTAGCAGCCGCCGTGCCTTCGTTTGATTTCTGATTAGGCTGAGTGACACTGTCCATGCAGATCAAGCTAAATTGACTTGCCTTTGCCAGGCTAGAAGTTCTTTGAAGAAGCTGCGGGAAGACTTAAGTAGTAAACTTGAGAACAGACAAGGAGATAAACAGCATGCACAGGTAACGGGAGCATTTCTCGGGCATTAAATGACATTGACTTATTAAAAAGATGTCATCTTCGGGTCCGGAAAATGATAGAAGGGGCCTTAAAGATCAAGGCATTTGTGGTGAATGAAAGCCACCGTGGCACCATTTACAGGCAAAATTCGAAACCCGCGCAAGCACGTAACGAGGAGTCAGTAAGCAAAACGCATTGGCTGGCCAAATGCACTATTGCATGTTCGTTTGCAGAAAAAAACCTCAGTCTCGAGTTGCTGCGGTGCCCCAGAGCTAGCTGTCTGCATGCGACTGTGCTCTCGCGCAAGCGGCTGTGCCGGCTGGCGTTACATCCCTGTCCGTCTGTCCTTTGCTTACGTAGGTCATGCTGGAAAAGCAGAACGGGAGTTGGCTGTACCCTGAGAGCCTGCGTGCCGATTCCTGGGAGGACCAGGTATGGAGCTAAAGAGGGGGATTTCAGCGCTGTGGAAAGAAATACCGGGTTTAGTTTGATAACTTGGTGACTTCAAACCTGTTCAGCACACGATCAGGCGCTCCTGCAGCAAACTCTAGTCTTTTTATCAGGGTCAGATCAGGAACGGAGTGCAGCTCTATTAGAGCAATAAAAACGTGCATAATGGGTTCTTAAATCTCTGCACACGAGAGCTTTTTTAGCAGAAGGGGTAACAGGAATCTTAAGCTGGTAAATATTTCTCCAGCTCTTCGTCTTTCCCCTGGCTGGGGCAGATGCTCTGGGCCGGGGTTTCGGGCTGGGTTGCTGTGGACCTGGTTCACGTTGTGGGGTTTCAGGTTGCCCAAGCGCAGATCAGGCTGGCATCCTGTGAACAGGGCTTGGAAGGCAACCAAAGGATACTGTGCGCGTTATCTGGAGGGCTGGAAGCTGTCCCTCCAGTGTGGGAGGTGAGGACAGGAGCGCCTTTCATTTTTTTTTTTTCAAGCTGAGAAGTGACGTTACCAGGCTTTGTCACCAACAGCGCTGCCCACATTGGGGCGGAGGGCTCCTTTGATACCTCCCGACTGCTCATCCTCTCCTGTTACCGTCTCCGCAGGAGGAGGACTGCTCAGGTGAAGACGTGGAAAAGATCCGACAGACGGCAAAGAGGCTGTTCACGAAGCTGCAGGAGGCTGAAAAGCGCCATCAGCTGGAAAAGAAAGCCTTTGAGGTGACTACGCTGCGCACTTCTCTGCTGGGAAAGTGTGATTTTTATTTTATTTTGTTTTTTTTTTTTTCTTTTTGGAAGTCTGAGAAGCTGCATGGGCACGTGAGTTTAGGTTGCTGGAGGTGTCTGGCTTCTCCTTGCAGAGCGGCAGGCTCAGTGCGCGCTGTTAAAATACACCGGGGAGTCCGGACCTGGCCAAACCCCAGCAAACTGCCTCCCTGGTCGCCTAGATGAGTCTGAAGACATAAATGCTTTCCCAGTTAAAAAGCACATAAAATAAAAGCGGCAGCCAGGTTGGAAGGTGGTCCCCCCCAAGCTCTGCTGAGCCTTTCCAACCGTAGCCAGGCTCGGTGCGTGAGAGGGGTGTTTTCTGGGGAGTGGGGACGGCCAGGGTGTCCCAGCGGGTCGAGCGGAGACCAAGTCTGCGGTTCCCAGCCACGGTTGCTGGGCTGCTGCGGCCGTGCTGGCCGTTGTGGTCTCTCTTGGAGCTCAGCCTCTTCATCTGCGGGGCTGTTTGCTGTAGAGAAGGGCGAGCTGACCGGGAGGCACCCGGACCCATCGCACGGGTCTCCTCGCCTGCTGAGCGGTGCTGACGAAGCTGCCACATTCACTTTCCTCCCTTCGTCAGCCCTGGTGATTAATGGTCCCCTTCGGTGTGTTTTCTAGTGGCTGCTCATGTCCCGGATGGGCTGGGCCTGACCGTGTCACCCCGCAGCTCCGAGCGCTGGTGGCAGCGGTGACGTCCCAGCTCGCATCCTGTCCCGCAGACCAAACTGGTCCCAGGAACCCTGGGGGGTTCCCCGCAGTGGGACGGGGGACAGCGTCCGCTGGGGAAGTGGGTTTGAGCGGCGACCGCTTCCTCCGGCACAGGGACGTCCACCTGCCCGCAGCGGTGGCACGTGCCCCGAGGACATCTGTCCTTGCGCGTAGGAAGTCGCGTGGTTTGGTGGCATTTTGGGGTCGTTGGGCAGCTGTGATGCTGACTGCGGGCTCTGAGCCGGGATGGAGATCCTGGGGATGGCAGGGATGGGTGTTTTGGCAGCCGTTGATCCTGCCAGCACTGTCCAGGTGTTCTCGGTGTGCCTTGTTGTCTGAGCCTGTTCTCCAGCTGTTGTGGGGACCCACGGGGACACCCTTGTCCCCTCTCGGCTCCTGAGCCGTTGGTGCAGGCGTGGGGCTGGCTGCCGAGGTCAGTTCCTCGGGCAGGTGGCCCGAGAGGAGCCTGCAAACAGCCCCAGAGCGCATGTGGCTGAGAACCAACATGTCTCTTGCGTTTGAGGAGCCTTTATTGCTATAGCATTTAAGCGCTCGCTCCTTTGAAGTGCTTTGAAGCCGGGGAGCTTTCTGAAGAACCTCTTCTCTCTGAAGCATGTCGGGCTGTTTGCTGAGACGCCCGGCTGCCTTCGGCAAAATCCGCCTGCCAAGGCTTCGAGCATCGGTGCGGCTTCAAACCATTGCTCGGGAGAAGGGCTCCGGCGGCTCGGGTGTCCGGGCACGTGAGGGTCAGGGGTAAAGGCATCTCCGTCTTGTTTGCAGAGGACGGTCTCGCAGTACCAGGAGGAAGCGGAGCAGACAAGCTCTGCCCTGCGGAGAGCGGAGAAGAGCGTGGCGGAGAAGGAGGTGCAGGTGGATGAGCTGCAGAGACTCCTGGCAGGGATGGAGAAGGTACCGGCCCTGAAGCCACGGTGGGGCTGATGGGATTAGCGGAGCTGCCTGGTCCCGCTCTGCTGGGGGAGGAATGGGAAAGCCCGGTGGCGGTAAGTTCGGCAGTGCTCAGCGCAGACCCTGCAGCGGGTCTTGGACCGGCTGTAGGGTACCCACCGTACGGAGGGTTTGACTTCCAAACCAGGTTTAACCCAAAAGCGTCGGGCAAAGCCAGCTGCTGAGAACGGCTGAAAACCGACTGTTGCTGATTTAGACCTGCATTTCTCAGGTCTAGAAGATCTGGTCGGTCTGTGCAAACTCTTCCAGGTATCCTGGAAACGAGTGCACAGTCTAGACAGCCGCCCGGTTCTTCTTCTCATGGGGGCATTAACACAACCTCCAGCCTTGATTATTTTTTTTTTTCCCAGCTGTGGTCTGCTCATAATAACATTAAGTCATAAATCTAACAGTGCAGTATGAGGATGAAGTGATCTGGGACTGCCTTCCCTGGCCCGACAGCGGGGAAGGAGATGGGTTGGTGCCTTGCCTGTAACCTAGGGGTAAAGGAGTGGGACGTCTGCTGTCGGTCATCTCTGCGGCTGCTCTTGTCTGTCTCTCTCTCGCATGTAAATTTAATGCTCGTGAAAACAACCCGCAGATTGAGCGGGGAGGCTGAGCTGAGCCTGCCTGGCTCCCTGGGTGTTTGTAGTTTGCTGCTGTGCAGCGGAGGCCAAGGAGCATGTGTTGCGACTTGTTTCCGTGCGTGTAACTCGGCCCCTCGCTCTGCCGCAGGAGCACAGGAGTTTGCTGCTGAAGATGAAAGAAGGCGAAGCAGAGCTGGCGAGGCTGCGAAGCGTGGAAGGTGACAAGCTCGCCGAACAAGACCGGTGAGGCTTGGCCTCCGGCTCGGCTGCCAGAGCAAGCCCACGCTGCTGGGTCGGGGTGTCAGCTCGCTGGGGCATGACTGCACATTCCTGTGAAGGGCGTGCTTGCTCTCTGGCTTGCAAAACAGCACCCTACTCCCAAGAGCTGACTAATCTCCAAATACCTCCCGCAGCTTTTCCCTGCTCCGAGAGATCCGGAGCTCTGGAGCTGGGCTGCCCGGAGACCTCTAGCGGCCCCGCTGCGGGCTGGGAGCTTGGGGCAGGTCCTGCCCTGCTTAGGGAGCCTCCGGAGCAGCCGATTCTCCCCGTAATGTTGGATTCGTTCCACCCAGCCAGTATCCTTGTGCTCCAGGGGCTAATTGGCAATGGCTTGTTTCTGGAAGGCCTTGTTTGTGGCCTGACTCTTCCTGATGTTCCTGAGTCCCTGCAGTCTGTGGTTGCTAGTCTTTGTGGCTCCTGCTTGAATGGGTTTTGTCTCTGCCTCTCCTTACCTCGTCTAGTCAAAGTATTTCAAGACCTGTGTGGCTGTAGAGGAGACCTGGCTGATAAAGGCTGCTCTGGGCATGGCTGGGTGGGTGCTCCCTTTCTGGGAAGCCATCCGATGGCTCCTGGACTCTTGTCCTCTCCTTTTCCCAGGTCAGCCCAGCTGGAGAAGGAGGTGGCCATGCTGCGGGAGAAGATACACCATCTGGACGACATGCTGAAAAGCCAGCAACGCAAAGTCCGCCAGATGATCGAGCAGGTGAGAGGAGCGGGGCTGGGCTGGGAGGGTGGATGGGGGAGAGCCTGGGAGGACTCGGAGGGGACTTAAAAAAAGAGAAAGGAGGAAAAAAAAAAAAAATTAAAAAAATCTCTTAAGCTGCTCGGAAGCAAAGAATTGCTGGTTTGTGGGGCTGAGTCCCTTTGCAAACCAAAGGGACACAAGTTCAAAGGCAGCCCAGAGCCCTGTCCTGCAGCGGGGACTGACCCCGGGGTGACAGCCCAAAGCCTGCGGTGCGACCTGCCCTGGGCCGGGGAAGGTAATAAAAGGAGTGTAAAAGGAGTGCTGTGCACCCAGCTTGGCCTGCTGAAAGAGTTACATCTCAAACTGTGTGAGCGGAGGCTCCTTCACCTGGGGATCAATTCTCTGACTTAATTTGAGGCTTTTTTGGATTGGTTTTTATGCAGACCTTGGCGTTAACGTTGTGGGTGTTAACAGGCAGAAGGGTGGCTGGCTAAGCTGCCCTCCTTCCTAGACGTTTCTCCAGCCCAGCTGTACACCAGAGGGATTTTCAGCTGCTGTGAACTTTTCTCTTACAGCTCCAGAACTCCAAAACGGTGATTCAGGCCAAAGATGCCGTGATCCAGGAGCTCAAGGAGAGAGTCGCTTACTTGGAGGCTGAGGTACGTCTTAGCGGGGCCGTTTCGGGGGGTGCACGGGGCGTGCTCCGAGCTCAGACCCTCTCGTTGAAACCTCCCAGTGCGACTGGCTTTGCGCGCCTGCGGGTCGTGGCTGGGCTCCCTCGCGGCGACGAGCTTTGCTCTAGGCAGAGCGGCCGGCAGCAAAGCCCTTCCCTGGCACTGACACCTGCTTCGCGTAGGAAAATGTGCCCTCCGCAGCCCCGAGGGCTGTGCTGGTTCCCCGAGCTGATGTGATGGTTTCCAGTGCAGCCGGAGTTGCTGGAGCAGCTGTGAACTCAAGCCAAGTCCAAAATAATCTCATCAAGCACATTTCTCTGGCAGCAAAACCCTTCTTGCTTACAAAGCTGCAGCCGAGTGCGTGCGTGTCAGAAATTAAAACTGCATTCCAGCCTCTAGGATTGTAACAAGTGTCAAACCTCCTTTTTTGGAGGAAAAACTGTGCCTGCATTGGCACTTCTGGCGTTGTCTTCCCTCCTCAGTGACTTATTTTGCTAATTTCTGCATGGGGAGGGTGTGTGTGAGCACAGCCCGCCGTGAACCCGGGTGGAAAACAGATCCAGAGAGAGATCGTGTGCTGGTGTGTTTCTGTTGGGTGTTCGGCAGGTCTTACAAACCATCCCGGCTCTCCTTTGGCGAGCAGCCCTTATGTAGGGCTGGATTTCATTTCCCTCAAGAAAAAGCTGCCCCATTTCAAGAGATTATACCGGAGCATCCCTCGGCAGGCTATCTGCGTGCCCGCAGCCCGCCTGTCCCCAGCTCCCCATTGCTAACAGTGGCTCCGTCTCTTGCAGAACCTGGAGATGCATGACCGCATAGAGCACTTGATCGAGAAGCAAGTCAGCCGGGGCGGCCACAGCTCCAGAGTGCGCTCGAAGTCGGAGTACGTGAGCAGGTACGTGGGGAGCACGTACCCTCCAGCGATGGGGGGGAGCCTGCCTGGCCGCTCAGCGGCTTCATCTGCAGGTCCACGTCTTATCCGGGGCAGCAGGAGCTGCAGTCTGGGAGATGGAGCTCGGGGAGGCTCTCCTGGAAGCACGCTGTATTTTTTTTTTCTGTTTGCAGAGAGGTCTCTGTTCCCGCATCCCTCCTTCAGGGGAGTACAGGGGGGCAGAGGTCCCTCCTGCGGGCGGTTTTGGGGGGAGCCATCACCGACCAGGGCTGGGGCAGGACCTCTCCCACAGGTTTTCCCCTCAAACCCCACCCAGTTCGTCTGTCTGAACTAATCCTTTCTTTCTTGCAGCAAAAGGCTGACGGGCCCCAAGCCGCTGCCTCTCATTCGAGTAGTGGAAACATGAGTTTCGAGGGCCGGTCCGAGCCGAAGACTCTCCCCTTGTTATCGTTGACTGGATTTCCCTGCTTGACTGCCGCCCTCTGGCCTCTGTGCCCCCGGAGTCTCCCCGGAGCTGTCGGCGGAGGGCTGTGCCCCGGAGAACTGTGGCAGCCGAGGACAGACGTAGCCGGGGCGGTCCTGGCAGAGGAAGGAGGTTTGCGAAGCGTCCACATTGCTGTCCCCACTGGGTCCCAAGGTCACACGGATGCCAGTTTGGAGGCCGGGACCAGCTGGTCCCGGCGTGGACACGGTGGCTCTCTGGCCGGAGAGCCGGGCTCCCTTTCCCTGGTCAGTCCTGGGTTTGCCGGGGTTGCTCTGCAAGAGCAGCCTTTGCTTCTGAAGGGTCTCATCCAAACAGAGCCCCCCCTTCAGCTTGCAGCTTGCCAACATGGACTTGGGGTTTAACCTTTTTTGGTTCAAAAAAAAAAAAAAAAAAAAAA